TTTTTTTTTATGTCATTCTATGAGGTCTAGAGAGAAGGTTTGGTTTAATATAAAAACCAGTGGTAAATGTGTTCCAGAATGTTAATCTAAAGTTCTGTCCTTTTTCCTCCGAGAAAATTTGGGCTAATTTTCTTTTTCTTTTTCCTTTTAATTAGCAGAAGAGAGGGAGGAAGAGAGAGAGAAAAACATCGACGTGAGAGAGACACATCAACTGGCTGCCACCCACACGACCCCAACTAGGGCCAGGGACAAACTGCAACTGAGGTACATGCCCTTAACGGGAACAGAACCTGAGACTCTCTGGTCCGTGGGCCGATGCTCTAACCGCTGAGCCAAACCAGCCAGGGCTGGGCTAATTTTCTTTAAGTTAGTAAGCAGTCCCAGTACCATATAAAATGCATACAGGAGTGCGAACCAAGCTTGGTGTTGGAGAGCAGATGGCAGTCTAGAGAAGAGACGCTCCAGAGGAGTAAAGAGGCCCATTGTGATCTCCAGTGCTCCCTTCTCTTTGTAACCCACGAAGGCCATATCCACATTTACGTGCACATATACTTTAATAGATGGAAAATATAAAACGACAGACACTCAGTTATGTTCACCTCTGTATAATGTGGGGAAATGGATGTGTTACTGATGTCCTTTGACAAACTCGACACCAGAACCACCAGATAAGGAGGACACTGAACTGGAGATGGGGTGGGTGGGGGACTGAGGGGCCATGAGAGCCACTGCTCTTGAAATCTGGCCAGCACCCTGCCTCTACACGGCCTTGCAGTGGCTAGATGGTCCAGATCCAGGACATGAAGAGTATGCCGTTGTTAAATACACGTTCCTCCTGACTGGGGTATAAGGACAAGCAGGAAGTGGACAGCGGGGCTGGCATTCAGCTCCTCGAGCCTGAGGGACTGAGGCTCTGGGCACTGTCAGTACCACGGTCCCCCAGGAGGACTCTGGGGAGGACCAGGACACCGTTCATCCAAACACATGTAGGCTGCGTCTCTTGCTCTGTGCAGTGTCTTTGGACAAGTGAGTTTCTAGATTCTTTGCCATTAAAAAAAATGTACAATTGTGGAATCTTACTCTTAATCTTATTATTAAAACAAAATGAGTATAAAAGAAATTGTACAATTTTGTTATTTGAACACTCAGCAGTACAGAAGGTATGTTCTTATCTGGTCTATCAAGATCCATGGTTTCTGAGAAAGAATACATTTTTTTCATAAGATGCTAACTCATCAATATATTTTTCCTCTCTGCTTCATCATTTTCCTAAACTGGGGATGGGGTGGGGCATGATATATAACTGTAAAGGCATAAATGAAGTTAAATTACATCTCAAACATGGGAGTCAGCACCGGGGAATTTTCTATTAAGTGTTTGCCTAGATCTGCTTTGCACTGGACATGCTACTGGTACAGACGATGATAAAAAAAAAAGCAAGAAAAATGTTTTTATTATTGTATCAAAGCATTAAATGCCATTAAAATATCTGATCAAAAGTCATTAGGAGTTAACATTTCTTCCTAGATTTTAACAAATAACAAAACCATTAAAAAAATTATTGCTACTATTTTTTTTTCACTGTGAAAAATATATTAAAAAACAAAACAAAAAACATATGGAGCCCTGGCCAGTTTGGCTCAGCGGTTAGAGCGTCGGACTGCGGTCCAGAGAGTCCCGGGTTCGGTTCCCACTAAGGGCATGTACTTCGGTTGCAGTTTGTCCCTGGCCCTGGTTGGGTCGTGCGGGTGGCAGCCACTCGATGTGTCCCTTTCATATCGATGTTTCTCTCTCTCTCTTCCTGTCTCTCCCTCCCACTCTATCTGAACAAAAAAATGGAAAAATGTCCTCAGGTGAGGATAAAAAATAAATAAATAAATACATATGGAAATGCTACAATCCTGGTCGGCAGTCACCCCCACCCCCGCCAATTACAGTCTACATTCAACATTAGTTTCAGATGTACAGCTTGCTACCCAGTTGCAAGGAAATCTAACTTGTACCTGGCAGAGCATCATCCAAGTCACTCTGAAATGTGCAGTCCCCTTCATGGGTCGTGCCACCAACAAGAGGCACCAAGGTCTCCAGCCCCGTCTTCAGAGCCAGTTTGGTGAACATGTTCATGAAAGTAAGTTCAGATTTGGCAAATGACAAAATTTCTATTTGCTATTTGAAGAAAATGGTCATTATAACTACCCAGATTGTTATGTATCCATTATCAGTTACCAAAACCACACTACAAAAAATAAAGATAATCAGGAAAAAAATAACAAATACATCAACCTAGGAGTTTCCACAGCGACACTGGAGGAAAACCCTAGATTTCTGCCTTGCTAATATATCCATTTGAGTTAGAAGTTCAGTTTAACTATGTTTCCTCACTGTTGTTTTGTCCTTGACATTTGGTTTTGGACATTTTCAAATCTCTTAAACACGTGTCAGTTGGAAAGGGTTGGGGGAGACATTGTTGGTGGATCTTGGAGAGGTTTCTCCTATTTATTTCTTAGAGATAAAGGCTAGAATTGTAGTGCTTTTCAATAAGGTACCTCTTATCCGCTATGCTTGCAAAAGGAGAATTCTTCCAGTGGGGATGATGTTACAAGGTTACAGTGAGGGTGGAATGAAGTGACAAACACCTTTGTCTTCGCTCTGGGTCTGGCCTGAGCAGGCTTCCAGTGCAGGATAACTTCTTTAGTCCTTTCCCCTCCCTCCCCCGAACCAGGGACACAATACAGGTGCAACTCATGACCAGGAAAGGTACTTGGGGAGAACTCCCCTTGCTCGGCCGTAGTGTGCTATGCACGGACTCTGCAAGGTCTTCCAGACGATCGGCGTGTGTGAGGAGTGAACACAAAACCAGCAACAGCAGGATGAGACACAAGAATGAGTTACAGGAGGTCGCAGTGGAAAGTTTAGAGCAACAATTGCACAATCATGAAAGCGTGTTATAGTATCACTGGATACTGTAGTACCTTGATAAGAAAATGAAAACATTAACTATACAATAAATTATAATAAAAAAGTTAAATATGTAAAAGTATTAGACAATTCAAATTTCATTTTATTCCTACTAAATAGTCATTTCAACACAAATGATGTGCAGATAAGGTGAATCTGTCTTTTTATTGGCATTACTTTCTAAGCAACGTGCTACTGAGTTTTTAATATGTAAAATAACTGAACTTTATAATGCTAATTAGTAGCAAATCATCACCTGTATAACTCTTACAGAAATAATTCCAAACATCATGGGTCAGGAACCTTCACATATTAGCTACCAATTCTGTCTTGTGGGTGCGTGTGAGCGAGGAAGGGGACTGAAGGAGGTGGCATCTTGGGGGGGGGGGGGGGGGCAGGCCAAGGCACAGGCGTGGGAGTGACTTGGCCCCGCACCAAAGGGCGCAGTAGGCTTGTGAACCATCTCCACTGATCTGGGTGGAAATCACTGCACCACCACCTACAGAAGTAGCCTGACTACTGAAGGGAATAAAAACAGCCCTGGCCGGTTTGGCTCAGCGGTTGGAGCATCGACCTGTGGTCCAGAGAGACTGGGGTTCGGTTCCCGCTAAGGGCGCGTACCTTGGTTGTAGTTTGTCCCCGGCCCTGGTTGGTTGTGCGGGTGGCAGCCACTCGATGTGTCCCTTTCACATCAATGTTTCTCTCTCTGTTCCTCTCTCTCCCTCCCACTCTATCTGAACAAAAAATGGAAAAATGTCCTCGGGTGAGGATGATAAAAAAAAAAAACAGGCCGAGGCTAACAAATGAAGGCCAAAGGCAGTAATACGTGGAGGTCAGCACGCAGAGCTGAGCTAATGGTCCAGGGGTTTGCATATAAGACAACCTGAATGTTCAAGGGCTCAGGAAAGTTCTTTTCTTTTCTTTTTTTTTTTTATCCTCACCTGAGGATATTTTTCCATTTTTTGTACAGATAGAGTGGGAGGAAGAGAGAAGAAGGGAGAGAGAGACAGAAACATCGATGTGAAGGGACACATCGAGTGGCTGCCACCCGCATGACCAACCAGGGCCTGGGACAAACTGCAACCGAGGTACGTGCCCTTAGCGGGAACCGAACCCGGGTCTCTCCGGACCGCAGGCCGACACTCTAACCGCTGAGCCAAACCGGCCAGGGCAGGAAAGTTCTTTTCTTGATTGTGGCATTAACTCCGAGAAAGAGGAAGCCATGAGGAAGAACCTCTAAGGTCCTCACTTTCTTTATCTATAAATTGAGGCGCCTGGGCTCTGTGATCTTTCAAGATGCTCTATTTCTAAGATTCGATTATTTTATTTTATTTATTTATCCTCACCCGAGGACATTTTTTTGCATTTATCTTCAGATAGAACAGGAAGGAGAGAGGGGAGAAGAGAGAGAGAGAGAAACATCAATGAGAGAGAGATACATCAACTGGTTGCCACACAACCCCAACCGGGGCCAGTGACAAACTGCAACCAAGGTACATGCCCTTAACGGGAACCAAACTCGGGATTCTCTGGTCTGTGGGCTGGCGCTCTAACCGCTGAGCCAAACTGGCCAGGGCTCGATCATTTTATAACACAAGGTTTTACTATGTGTTTAAACTTTTAGTATTAAATATTGTGGAACAAATAATTGATCAAATCAGGTAAACATACACACACTCTATCATTTTACTCTTTAGAACCACTATGCAAATTGAATCATTAACAGTCATTTTTACAAAGCTAGATCAAACAGCAGATATATGTATATATCTGTTATGTATAAACTGATTCATGGTGCTGTACACACATACATACATCCTTTGAATCTTGAGCTTTGGTAAAATTTCACCCCATCTGCAAGAAAGTATCCTTTCTCCCCATATTTGTTGTTTCCTGTAGGTTCTTACTTATTTCAGTCATCCAAAGAGAAACATAATAGCCTTTGAAAATTATTTACAAGGCTATGAATAGGTACGCGAATTCATATGAGTCTCATATACTCAAAACCCAAAAGGCACGGACGATATAAGCTGAAGACTGACCTCTTTCCTGCGGCATTGGTGACTGGCTCAGGGCAGGATGGGAACTCGATTCTGACTGGCTCCCAGGTGGCTGAGGAGGCATCTGACTGCCTGTAAAACACAGGAGGGGGAGTGGGGATGAGGAACTCTATGCATTAATACTGCAAATGTGCAAAACGAAGACATGGTTATAAATGTATTTAATCTTTATTTATCACAAAAGGCACCTCCCCCAAAGAAAGAGATCAAAAAGCGTGATATTTCATCTTTTTTTTTTTTTTGGCGTGTAAATCTAAGAGGAAACATGCATAAACATATTTAGCAAATGACCTCCAGAAAAGTTCAATTTTTACTGGATGAGTTCCCAAAGTCACAGACAAATCAATTAGTAGCTGAAATCTCCTGACACACACTTCTTTATTGCATTTAACAAAATCCAAGACTGATGGGAGGAACTCATCCTCCTGAGTTTAAACTAGTCTCTAAGTGGGCAGGCACGGCATAGTGGTCCACAATCTTTCATGATTAATATTTAGTCTATGTAGTAATAGCAACCCATGTCTAAAAAAACCTTTGTAATTAATCAGAGATTTAACATAAACTTACAAGAAGATCTCCATTAAAAAACGTAATACATAGGACTACAAACTATAGCGTATATTATCACTAAAAGAAAATACTACTCTGCATCTTTCTTGATCTTTATTGCTAATAGCGCAGTAGCATCTTATACAGCATGTACTTGATTTCTGTTGACTCAATGTGTGCTTGATTTGTCTTTCAAACTATAATGTAAGCTCCTTGACAGAGCAGTCCTGTCTTTTACTCCGCGAATCCCTGTACTAGCATAACAAATATTTTATAAATCTTAGTTATTTAATGGCCCTTAGTTGGAAAACATGAATTAAAAGAAAACGTATTGTTTTGTTAATTAAAGAAGACAATGAGTCATGTGTGAGCAGGAGACAGGATTTTGAAATTTAAGACTCATCAGAGCTACTTGACTATCTCCGCTCACTTTCTGGCTCAGAGGGTTAAATGCATCTCTAAGATGGAAAATGCAGCATTGAAAAGGCAGTTGAACTTAGCTCAATCCTCAAGGCACGAGCTGTCATGGCACGAGGACCATGTTCTTTTATCTTCGAACCTCCCCCACTTTGCTAAAATAAAGAGGAAAGACAGAAATATGCATATAATATCTCCTTGGTAGGGGTTGTGACCAAGCTCTGACATCATAGGACCTCCTCCTCGGTGGCTCTGGACAGTGCTGGAAAGGATCGCAGCTGAGCAGAGAAGGAATGAATGCACTGGGATCCCCGCCCGTGCACCCTGGTGAAGGTCGTGACGCAGAGCCTGGTGTTTACAGTGAGCGACAGCCCTTTCGTGTCTGCACCGTGGCACCTGTGAGGCCAGGCAGCTGAGAACAGACCAGGAAGAGCTCGGTCCAGGGTCTCTGGGGACTGTCAGGCGTTACTAATACTAACAGCAGCTGTATCTGTGACAGTCTGGAGGAAGGGGGGGATGGGTTTCCAGTTAGATAATAGCTAGAAATAGTAGTTAAAATATAACCATAAAAAATTCTCAAATTGTGTTTGGGAGTTTAGGCTTCTCCCTTTTAGAAAAGAATGTAAAACTTATGCATGCATTCCTGAGCACTCGGGGTTCTGCCACTCTCCTCCTCAGATAACAGACCTGACTTTACAGCCACGGAGAAATGCGGCTGTGACCCCGCGAGGGTTACTGCTCCCGAGTCAGAGCCACAACCAGATGGATAAAAGACCCAGACAAACAGTGCACAGCCGGACCATCCATTTTACTCTTAGACATGTGTAGTGAATTAGCATTATTACCAACTAATTACAGGTAAAGTATAAACACTCCATATTCTAGATGAAACAATTTCAACAGTAAACACTGGTCATCAACTTGGCTACAGATACACACATGTGTCTGCTCTGGGTCATGTGTTTCCTATGAAATACCCGAAGGCCCTGATCTACAGTCCACTTAGAAATTTAAAGCACTCGCCCTGGCTGGTTTGGCTCAGCGGTTAGAGCGTCGGCCTGCAGTCCGGAGAGACCCGGGTTCGGCTCCCGCTAAGGGCACGTACCTCGGTTCCAGTTTGTCCCCGGCCCTGGTCGGTCGTGTGGGTGGCAGCCACTCGATGTGTTCCTTTCATATCGATGTTTCTCCCTCTCTCTGTTCCTCTCTCTCCCTCCCACTCTACCTGAACAAAAAACAGAAAAATGTCCTCAGGTGAGGATAAAAAAAAAAAAAAAGAAATTTAAAGCACTCTGCAGCCAAATCTAGACTTTTCAAAATGTCCCCAGGGCATCAGCTGCCCTAAGACAGTAAGTGCTTACATTATAATGACTTTCTGCACGACAGGCTCAACCTACAGACTTATGATAGTGAGAACAAACAGAAATTCTGCATTAATGGAGGACGCCACTACTTACACCATGTAATGCCCAAGGGCACCACTACTCACACTATGCTGCCCCAGGACGCCTCTACTCCCACTATGCCGCCCCAGGACGCCACTACTCACACTATGCACGCTCAAGGCACTGTTCTTGCATACAACACAACTAAAAATAAAAAAGGCTGTTAGAAAACCATCTCAGGAATCCATAAAATCCCGCCACGACCATGCAGTGCTACCGGTTGCCTGGTGCAATTCAAAGACAGGTATCTCTTTAGAGCCATGAGAAAATTCATTTATTAAATCCATCCTTTAAAGAAACAAACAAGCACCATTCATGGTAAAGACAGATCTGCCCAAACTGTTTGAAAATCCCCCTTTGCTTTCACCTCCATCTTTCCATCAACAGTTTCGCAGTTACTAGGAAATAGTAACTCATTCTCCATAAGCACGGGTATAGCTGGTCAGAGCAGATGATGATCAGAAAACATGCTACGGAAGATTCACTGGCGTCCAATTTCCATGTAAAGATGACAATTGCCTTTGCACCAACCAAATTAAGTAAACATCTTCAAAACCATGAATTTTTATTACGTTTTGCATAAGTAAAATATTTTAAACAAAATTTGGTTATTATTTTAAAAGAGAACATTGCCATGCATAGTGAACAATCCAACTTTATGAGAAGGCTTTAACATTTCTTTTCAAAGAAAGTCCATGTTTCCCCTCGTCTGTCTATAAAGACGTTAGCACAATGGAAAAAATTACACCTGGAATACCCACGCTGTGAGTTGGAGTAACTTTTACCACTTTACACCTATGTATTTGTTCTCTGATGACCATTTACTTTTTACTTTTGATTCTCAGCACAAGTCTTTACTATGATTTTTTTATTAAAAAACATTTTTCCTGTTCTCCAATGACTGTGTATATACAACAGTGGGCAAGATTTTGCACAAACTAAAAATGAAACATCAATAAGTCACCTGAATTGGTACTGTTTGCTGACATTCACATTTTACTTTTGACTCTCAACACAAGTCTATACTATCAATTTTTATTTTAAAAACTTTTATTTTTAACTAGTTTTAGACTTAGAGAAAAGTTAGAAAAGTAGGACAAGTTCTCTTATATCCCCTAGCCCACCACCCCTAGCATTCGTATCGTATATAACCATAATATAATTCCCACAAGACTTCACATGGTACAGTTTTGTTAACTGAAGACCATATTTGAATTTCAACAGTTTTCCACTTACTTTCTTTTTTTCTATTCTAGGATATCACATTGCTTAGCTGTTATCTCCTCCAGTCATTAAAGAGCCCACCCCCCTCCTCCCTTTCACTCTGGCCTTGACACTTTGGAAGAGTACCCATCAGTTATGTCGCAGAGTGGCCTCGGTTTGGTTCAGTCTGCTATTTTTCCGTGATTTAAATGAGGCTATGCATTTTGGGAGGTGCACCACCAAAATGTCACGCACTTCTCTTCCTCACTTCATTCTGTCGAGGGGTTCACGACATTTTTATGTGTCATTTCTGGTGACATTTACCTTGATTACCTGCCTGGTCACGGTGCCTACCAAATTCCTCCAATGTAAAGTCACTATTTTGCTCTTGTAGATGATAAGTATCTTAGGGGCTATATCTGAGACTATGCAAACCCTGTGTCCCCTCCAACTTGACCCACTAACTTTCGCATCCGTTAGAGCACCTTGTCTGCAGCGTTTACTACCGCGGTGTCTGCTCCTGGTGCTTCCTTCCTTCCACATTTAACAGGAGTCTCCTGCGAGGAAGAGCCATCTCTTCTTTCCCACTTGGTTGTGTTTACTAGACCTCTATCCGTATGACTCATTGTGGCAGACACACTACCGAATGCCTACCAGTGAGCCACTGGGCAGAACCTGTGACTTGGCTTCCAACCAAAGAAATAAGAAAAATGAGGAAATATCACTCCTAAAAATGTTATATGGCAGTTAAAGGGATTTTGCAGGTACAAGTCCTGAATCAGATGACTTTGAAATAATCAAAATGATCCTGGGGAGGCCTGAGTTTTCCAGGACTCAGGCTTTCTCTGAGCTGGCCGAGCCTCTGGACTGGGAACTGAGACATGGCAAGGGCAGGAGGCCTCCAGACCCAAGGGCCTCGTTTCTACAGCCACAGGAAATGAGTTCTTCCAATAATTTGAAAGAGAATGGACGCAGATTCTTCCCTAGCTGAGCCTCCAGGTGGGAACATGGCCCATCCAACACTTTGCAGCCTCCAGACCCCGAGCAGAGGGTGCAGCTGAGCTGTGCCTAGACTCCTGGCCACAGAAACTAGGGGATAATAAATGGGCATTGTTTTAAGCCGCTAAGTTTGCAGTAATGTCATAAAGACAAAAAAAACTAGTACATTCATGAATATTTTTATTCTATGGATTGAAATCCAACACTGATGTGATTTTGTTGGTGGAACTGCTCCAGCTTTGGCCATTAGACGCTCCTTTGAGTCCTTTTTGGGAACCACACAGTGCTCCAGGCTTATATGCGATTTTTCCTGCCCCAGCCCTATAATCAACAACTTTTCCTAGGAGCCACGGTTCGTTGTACTGGAGAATGGTTTCAAAGACTAGGACTTGGGCACTAGGTCTGCTTATTATTTCTGGGGTGTTATTGCTTCTAGACCCTTTCAGTGAACAGACAGGAAAT